CGCATTTGCTTTCTACATTACGGCGAATTTACCTTAATTGCGAATTTAACTTAATTGCATATTTGCATTTCCTACAAACAACCGAATTTCAAAAGATCTTGGTTAACACCACTTTCTGTCCACTTTCTGTCCAGTTTCTGTGCGACGTCGTGTGAAAACGCGAGGCACAAATCCAGTTTCTGTTTGGGATTTGTGTGGATTAACCAGCAGATTTGCCCCTGTGTGATAACGTCCTTAGTACAAATGTAGCTTTGCAAATTTAAACACATTGTGTGTATTTAAGAATGGGGTTTATCACTGGAGGAGGGGTTCTTCTTTTTGTCCCATTAAGGCCTTTGCAGACTGCCAGAAATAGTGCACATTAAATTGAGGCACTGCCCTGGCTCAGTGCTAGGGAGTCATGGGAATTGTATTTTTTTCTGAGACATTGAGCCTTCTCTGCCAGAGAGCTCTGGTGCCACAATAAATTACAGTTCCCATGATTCCCTAGCACGGAGTCAGGGCAATGCCTCAATTTAATGTGCAATATTTCTGGCAGTCTGCAAAGGCCGAAGAACGTTATCACACGTGGGCCAGAAAGCGAAAATAAAGTGGAAATGAGGCATCCCGAAAATAAATGGGAAATAAACCTTGTTTCCACAAACGTCATTACCTTAATTGTGAATTTACAGTAAGCACATTTAACATCCACACACAAGCGAAAAAAGCCCGTAAATGTAGTAGAAATGAACCTCTTGCACATGCGCAGATAGAGGAATGATCGCTGGAACCATGGGAACAGCAGGGAAATGCTCCCCAATGCGCATTTGGCGATCACATTACGATAAATTCGCAACTACCTTAATTGCGCATTTGCTTTTCCTTCAAACAGCCGGATTTCAAAAGATCGCGGTTAACACCAGTTTCTGTCCACTTTCTATCCAGTTTCTGTGCGACGTCATGTGAAAACACGGGGCACTAATCCAGTTTCTATCTGGATTTTGTGTGGATTAATCAGCAGATTTGTCCCTGTGTGATAATGTCCTAAGTCAGGGCAAATGCATAAACTTCTGGGCCTGACCCCAATTTTCGTGGGTTATCTCTAGAGAGAAGACAGGGGTGTATATTCTCTCATTTTGGAGGGCTCACCTCTGGACAAGAGGAAAGGGCTGTGTGGAAATCTCTAGTTTGGGAAAGTGCCAGCTTGCTACTCAATTTATTTGTTGCTTTGTGTGATTTGTAGAGTTCCCAGGGAGGTGTCTACATGTTTACTTGAGTTAGCTTCCTCCTTTCCTACCAGTTGTTTTAGTGCCATGGTTCACCTTCCACTCTGCTCTGCATCTGTCTTCTGGCTAGAAGCCAGTAGGTTAGATTACTGGCTTTATTCACCTTCCTAAGTTCTTTATTCACCTTCCTAAGTCAGAAGGCCAGAAGTAGAGGTTATTTGGGATGTGTGTGTCATTTTTGGCAATCCATGTGGGGCCCCTGATGGTCTAAGGGCAGAAAATAGACCCTGGCATCCTCTCTCTTTGCTCACTTCTGGATTAAAGCCTCTGATTTTCATAATGTAGTCCCCATACAGCAGGGGTAGGCAGCCTAAGGTCTGGGGGCTGGATGCGGCCCCTGAGGCCTTTGGACCGGCCCCAGGCCGGTCCTGCCACCGCCACCCCCCACCATAATTATATTGATTATTGTTGTTATTACTTGTTCTTGGGGTTTTCATGGCAAAATCTCCACAGGGGTTTTGCCATGGTTTTTCTGGGGCTGAAAGAGTGTGCATGCATATTTTTTAATTTTTTTAATTTTTAAATATTTATTTATTAATTTATTTATTTATTAATGGTGCTTTGGCCCCCCAATTGCCTGAGGGACAGCAACCCGGCCCCCGGCTCAAAAAGGTTGCCTACCCCTGCAATACAGTCTATCAATGTCCTCCTAAAACTTAAAACAAGGACCTTTCTGACTCTCCAGGTCTGAGGTCTGTGATTTTTCACAAAACAGCCCTAGTTTTGATGCTAACACTGCCGCCGGGGGCGGGGGAATTATTAACATATGCATTATGTGTTTTGACTGGCATAATGCAGAAAACTGTTTATGCCGAGACTGCCAACAATTTTGAAGCGGTCCTCTTTAAAACAAAGTTGGATAACTGAAACTCTAGAGACGTACATCATATGTATTTCTGTGGATCTTGACTAGCTGAACTTCTATGAAGGCTTCTCTTTAACTGGCAATTCAACAGGAACAGCATCAGGGTGATCTCTGTGATCTGCTGGCAGACCATGTCCCTTCTCATCAAAGCTTTCCCTCTCAGAGTTTTTGACTTCATGCGCTGGGAGACTACATCTGAAGAGGACAAGTGCCCTGGGCAATATTCTTTCCCTCCTCTCTCCTGAAGCCTCCCAGAGGGATGTGACATGCTCAGAATAATTCCCAACCTCATTTCTTTCTCCACTGTGGGAACTTTTAAACAAAATCTAATAAGCTTTGATAGAATTGCCCATACCAGCTGAATGCAATCAGAGGTGCCTGGTGGCTTCCATGTCAGAGAGGTAGTAAATCACAGAATCATAGGATCCTAGAATGGGAAGAGACACCCCCCCCCCGCCATTCAATCCAACTCCATTCAGTCATGCAGGAAGACACAATCAACTCAATCCTGGCAGATAACCATCCATCCTCTGTTTAAAAACCTCCAAAGATGGAGATTCCACCACACACCAAGGCAATACATTATATAAAAATGTCTTGTTATAATGCATTCTTCTTGCCCCACATTTGTTACTGCTCTCTTTCATATCTGAAATACAATGGCAGAGAATGGCAACATGCCCTGGGCCTTGCAACAACTTCCAGAGATTAAATAACAAAATGTAAAGATACCGTTGACAGTTTCCAGATTAAATTATTCCACGCTACTCACAGATATTAAATCCAAGCACTCCTGATAGATGACCATCCAACCTCCATTTAAAAACCTCCAAAGAAAGAGATTTCACCACACTCAGGCAGCATATTCCATTGTCAAACAGCTCTTACCATCCAGAAGTTCTTCCTTATGTTTAGGTGGAATCTCTTTTCCAGTGGCTTGAATCTATTGCTCTGTGTCCTAGTCTCTGGAGCAACAGAAACCAAGCTTGCTCCATCCTCAATACGACATCCCTTCAAATACTTAAACAGCGATCAAAACTCAAGCTGATAACACCTGATAGACTGTGAAAATAGTGGTGGTGAAACAATAACTATGGCTGGGATCCTAAATTGGCAATTTAGGAGATTAGCATACTCTCTTTTAACACACCTTATCCCCAATGGGATAAAGGTGCATTTATTCTTAAAATGGGTTTTATTGCATCCTGGATGCATCCTGGATGCCAGCCAGACTTATTCTGCAGCTTTTCAAGAACGGGATAAGCCCGGCTGGTATCCAGGCTGTAAACGGGATGTATCCATGAGCAAATGTGATAAAACCCCTTTTAAAAATAAATGCACCTTTATCCTGTTATGGATAAGGCATATTAAAAGAGAGTGTACTAATCTCCTTAGTTACGAATGCATAACTAAGGGGGGTTGCAGACTGCCATAAATAGTGCAAATTGAGTCCACTTTTAGGGTTAGGGTTATGCTAGGGAATCATGGGAATTGGGTTTTTCTGACACATTGAGCCTTCTCTGTCAGAGAGCTCTGGTGCCACAATAAAATACAGTTCCCATGATTCCCTAGCACTAACACTAACCCTAAAAGTGGACTCAATTTGCACTATTTCTGGCAGTCTGCAACCCCCCTAAGTATAATCTCCTGGCTTGACCCTTCCAAACCTACCTTAACAGCCAGCAGCCACTCTGAGCGATGGTGGTCTGTTCTGCTGGTTCTCAGAGTGCAGTAGAATGATGTTTCCAGCACCCTTCTGCCAACAATCTACAGCACAAATAAGGAATTGTTACTGGTGTCCTGATTCTGCTCCTCACAACCTCACTCACTG